TAGGATAGAATTGTATATATGGAGCGTGCTGGTCGGTCCCAACAGTTTCAGTCACGCTATATGAATGTTAAAATTATTGTTTTATGATCCTTGGACACCACTTGATTTATCGTCTGTTAATTGATCTAAGGTTCTAATTAACATCGAACCGTTTTCTCTCGAGGGTTTTGTAGAAATTGAAAAGATCTGCTAGAAAGTCATTGAAGCTGTATTATGTTCAGAAATGATTAAATTCATTTTTTTATTTCTATAGAACGCGATCCTAAAAAGCAACCACTAAAAGGCTCACTCGTGGTGTGTTAGAGATTTTGTACATTATTTTTATAGACAAGGATCAGTTAGGCCAAAATTACAATAGAGTATTGCATGCCGAAGTGTCTAAGCCAAATCCACATCGCACCTAGACGTTTGATAACACACAAAGATAGCAGAGAACATGCCTAAACAGATACTGTGTCCTAAGTTATTTAATGAGGCATGGGCTGGAGCTCTTGTTTTAGCGATTTATTATGTTACCACAACATAATAATATTTAGCACAGTGTCGGACCACACAGGACTTACCAAATATATCAACAGGCAACTTCAAACTTTTGACAGCGACAAAAACAACATGCACAGTGATGTCAACAAACAGCAATAAGAATGAATAGACAGGCTATAATAATCACTTCTGAACAACAACAATAATAGCCTTGTAATGACTATTATAATTGTCTAGGCTATAGGCCTACCCGTATATTGTTTTAAGATCTAATAAAAATTACTTAAAACCTTATGGCAGGCAACAAATGTCATTTTTTTGGCAGAGCGGTATACATCACTCCTAGGGGTAAACGGAAAGGATAAACGAACTATTGCTTGCGATATACATTTCATTGCGCAAGCATGCATAATGCATAGTGGAATCCAAATATTACTGGGGCCAACATAAGTTATAGCCTATCCTATAAAGAAATACAAAAGGACACTAGACCATGTTACAGAAGGTACATGGGAGAAGGTATAGTAGCAAGTGATGAGGTTGGAAGACTAGAGAGAAATAAATGTTGAAAGGATTTTTCGTCCATGGTATTCACCTCATGCTCACCAAATAGGCTGTCTGTTCAGAGAACGGGACGACTCTCCAAATACATTAATTTGTAATGTATTTTAAGATAAAATAAATAACAAAATTGGCTAAAAACAATTGTATGCTATATTCCAAATCGAACTGTTCAAAATAAATGGCTCTATACACAAAACACACATAATTCAAAAACCTATATAGTACACAATATCACGTGTCCCAAAAAGTGCATAGGCCTATTTTTGATTCCTAATAAAACATTATTGAGCACGATAAAAAAGGTTTTACAAACCACCGGTGTGCACTGGTGGCACAGTTTATATTGCGCCTGTAAACTCGATGCATGCTTTACCCCCCAAAACATTGAATTACGCACGAATTTCAAGTTTTCGAGCCATATAACCTTGGCTACTTAAGTGTGTTCCGCTTTATGGAAGTATAAGACACAAACGTGAAAACGTTTCTTTAAAAATAAGAAAAAAGCATCACTACCTATGGGGCTAGTTTGATGGGTTAGTTTAAAAAAAAATAGATCGGGCACAAATTAGAATATGAAGGAATGAAAATGTGTAATATGTGGATTAACGTACTGTATCTTCAAAAGCACAGGTCTAGAGGGTATATTGCAAACGGAGAACAATGAAAGCTGTTGAATATCCAACATTGATCACAAAATCGCATTTCAAATATGAATATTTAGACTTTTGACTAGATATGAAACGTGTGAACAATAATAGGGCTCCTTCTTGAAACAACATACAAACAAAGACAACTACAAACAGTGAGATGAGTAAAATACGTTGGCTCAACATCACTTGCTTTGTCCCCGGTTTCCTGCATTTGGAGGTCAATGGCACTGCTGTCCCCGCTCGCTGTATCCTTATCTAGACGGAATATCTGTGTCACTGATGGAGATGATGCCCCGGATTAGTACAAGATCCACAGAGGCCTCTTCCGATGCGTCAACATCCAAATAAGGGAATAGCCTATCGAGTATTTCTCAACGAATAGGCTAACTAACATACAGCAGGACAAAATAAGTTACTTTACGCTAATGGGTAAAATAAACACAGTTTACTTTTAAATCAGGCAATCATTCTAAGTTAGGCCTCCACATCATTATTGCTGGGCTAATGTTTGGGTGGGCCTCATTAGTGGTTATAGACTACATCGGAATAACGACAGATACATATTGTCTGCTATGGTGCATTTAAATAGGCCTAACTGAAATATAAAAGATACAAATAAATACAAAAACAGTCATTATGTTTTCCATCATTTGCAGGCTAACTGATCTACGCCGCCCCTGTAGCCTAAGACATGCATTTGTTCTTGTAAATCTGTTTTTTTAACAGCCTAATTCATTCAAACTAACTAACCAGGGAAATCTGATAAGAAGAACACTTTTGAATCCGTTCACAAATAAACAAACAAAGGCTTAATAAACTTTTAGACACATTAACTGAGGCAAGGCATACACTACGCTAATAGGCTACATTATCTAGTATCCAATGTGTGAAAGCCCCAGCAGAGAAATCGTCCTATACTTTCTGAAATAGATGTTGAACTAGATTACAAATGATGTCCTCAATAGAATAAATAATTTAAACGTAAACTACCAACAAATTAAGGCCACTTTGCCCCACGTGCTCAATGAAGTGACTCTGAATAGGCTATAGAGGATTTCGTACTGCACCTACAGACTGGAGAGCTATTTACAATGTAGGCCTATTGCGATTTACTTTCCAAAATACATAGAACTAGTAACGACGACCAGATGCCTCTCAGTGCGCGCAAAAGAACAGCCAAAACTTTAGAGGTAGGCCTACCACGGTAAACTATGCAAAGAAGCAACAGGCACACCTGGGGGCGCGTTCAGCAGGACGCAACGTTTTGGAACCTTCAGTTTGAAATATGCTTTGTAGAACAAACGCATCTGTTGACATGTAGTATAAGGAATCACGTCGGCTCTATTCATGGCATTTATATCTGCAACGTTGAGAACGTTTGGCAACTGAACATGGCCCTGGTGTAGAGTGAGGAGCCAGAGGGAGTCATAACAGGATACATTGCCAGTGCTGCGGAGTGTCCCACCAAACTAACCACGCTTTAAATAAATGTAAGATATGGGCTTCAAATGGTCAGGAAATTACAACGAATATGGCCATGAAAAAGGGGCAACACGTTTGATGCAGTAGCCTATGTCCACCAATTCTTTGAGCTACTGCTATTTTCTGTTATTTGCAACGTGAACGTATACCTAGCTCTAGGCTAGTCTAAAATGTATAATTGTATTTGTAGGTGAAGATAAAACACTCATATCAGGCAACGCAATAGGAAACATAAGATGTTTAGGCTATGTCCATTCATTACCCAAGAAATTAACATAATGTATATATTTTTTATAAACCATTACTCTCATTATTTAGGAAATGTTATGTGTCTGCTCATTCATAGCTTATTCATGCAAAGCTTCTTGAATAAGTGTTTTCAGTCGCCTCCCGCTTGTGCGCCAAGGCCTTCAAGCGAATTCCTAAAGTCTTCCTATTTGATCAGGTTCTGTATTTTGTCTGTTATCACCTGAGTATTTACAAAGAAAGGACGCTTCCGACATGGCAATGATGAAGTGAGCTGGTATCAATGGCATCATCTGATAAAAATAAGGAAATACAGGGCCATTTTCTTAAGGTGGATTACTTGATCTTTCAAGATAATAAAACAATGTTAGTCTTGCATTTTCTTGAAATATCAAAATAGCACAGTGAACATTTAGGCCGATAGACGATATGCCAATAAAGTAATAATACATATCCTTGTATTATATCCTATCAATAAATTATGTGGACCTATTTGGCTATCAAACTTGGTTAAGCATTTTAAGATGCTACTGTATAACAACATACTACTTAAGTGTATAGGGCCTATGCTTAGATGCTGTAGTAATTAAATAAATATAAATAATCAGGGATTGCTGGCTAAGGTCAAATAAATGTGTTCCTTTTCAAGGTTATTTGCATGAGTTAATTCTGTTGTCTAAAGATATAGGCTAAATTATATAATCGATCCAAAAGTTCCTTACAATTCTACACTTAAAAACAACAGATCACCACAGTAGTTTATTTATGTTCGATTGCATTAAGACAAACATCCAAAACAAATAGGTCTAATCTGCAAAGACAACAGCCGTGCAGCTAACTAGGTTATCCCATTAGCCCGCTGCAGCAGCGCATTATTAAATCGCCCGTGTAAATGAGACTCAATCCGGGTTGCTATCGCAGTAGCTCAAACAAACATAACTTTTGTTGCTATTAATTAATTATGAAGCTTGATAAGCTGATAAGAGATACTGTAAAAGCAAGATAAAGGTCAAGTGTCTAGCAAAGCGCACGAGGCAGATCTCCTTGCATTAAAGCAGGCTCACAGGGCAGCAGCCCCAGTGTTAATTCTGCAACACTTGCGCTGAACTTTGTTTGCTGACTACAACCCGCCATGGCCAGCCAGCCAGCCACAAACGAACTACCATCCGTTTGAATATAGCTGTAAGCATTGCGATTACAATTGGCAGGCAATAAATAGGATAGACAATAATTTAGTTCACGAATAATAAAATGCTATAATCCATATGGGTTAAACAATTGTCTGACTAATGTCTGATCGTGAGATCAATAGTATTCAAGTATTAAGTGAGGTCGTCGTGTATTGGTTGGTGCAGCCATTGCACCAATTAGGCAATGCATAAAATTGGTGAATGAATGAATCCATGATTCAATGGGAACACCATAACCATAAAGTAATACATTAATCCTACCTCCATAAAAATAGACACAACAGCAATGCCTAGTTCATTTGACGAAAAAGCTCGGGACAACAACGGCCCCCATGCCCAAGGTATTTGGCAATTACGCGCGCTGTCATTGCACAACCAAAGAACCCAAACATATAATTTACTGTAAAATTGCAGCACTTTGAAGCCGGACATCCGCAATGACGGTCTACTTTTTTCCCAAAGTAGATTCAAATTTGGCACATGATTGACCAGGTCTTATTCAAATAAAACATCCAGTCAAAGCGTGCACACTTTTTTTCGAGCCCTGCATGGGAGGCGTGGAGCTCTCACTTTTGACATTCTCTCTCTCTGCAGTAGCTTCTCCTCAAGGCAGACTAGCGAACTCTTATGACATCACCCAGCCACCGAATGGGGGAAGAAGGGAACAGCTCTCTGCGGATGAACGAGGTTATGATACAAGTGGACCTGTTTGGGCATATCAATTGAATTAGTGCAAGGGAAAAGTTTAAAATGTTGACCATATCGTCAAAAAGATTCAGTGGGAATACTTTGCTTTAAAAACAGCGGAGTTACCTAACCTACTTCGCCAAAAGGTCACTGAATAACAACGAACGTTAGAGGATAAATGTAAAGCTATTGCAGCATATGTTCCTGCGCATTGTGTCTAGCCATCTGCTTTCTGGAATAGGGCGTAAAGGAAGCAGAGGAGAGACGGATTTCTCGACCTGATTCCTCGCCTATGGACGACAGCGGTCCCCTCTCTCCAAAAGCAAATGCTTTCAGTATAGCCTCTCTGATTTCAGCTGCGGAGCAAGCAGGAAACGCAACATTTGACAAACACGGCACTGGCCTGGACAAGCAAAACCAGCACAACTGTTACAGTTCGTTTAAAATGCACTACAGCACTGTCACCAGAGAAATGGAAGGTACGAGCGCGGTCTTGACAATAACCTTGTAAATATTTGCTTGCGTCAAGTTTGTTTGTTGCTCATCTCAGGTTGTTGTTTTTGTTGTTGTTGTTGTTGTTGTTGTTGTTGCATACAGATGTGATCTTGTTCCTGCAATATACTAAAATTGAGCATCCAGATGTTTGAGTTAGTGTAAATGCATAAATAAAGCAATGTTGATGCTAGAGCAGGCTATAGTGTAAAAGTAAGTTCATATGAAAATATTCCCGAAAAGTCACATCCAGTATAGGCCATAGGAAAGTTCCGGGGAAAATATGATGCATATGACAATAGGAAGTTATTCATAACTTCAACTAATCATAACTTCTAAAACACTCAGTGTTCATAGGCGAATTATATCTTTATAGAACTGCAGAAGCTTGTCAAAATAGTGGTTTCAGTTGCATTTCAAATCAAAGTGAGTTCTTACATAAGCTACTACCATCAGAGAAGAGAACGAGAACACATTTTGAAAATATGGAATGAGAAGTTAGGGGCGGGGGTACATGGGGCACCCGTGCGTATTAATGGTAAAAAAAATAGTTGAAAATAGGCCTATATCCAACACAGTGTAATTGGGTCCCTTATCCCAGTTCCATTTGGCATATAATAATAATTCAAGATACATTAACCCCAAAATAATGTTGCGTTTGTTTGTTCATGCATATACGTGTTTGTTTACCTGGTAAAACAGTTTACCCTTCACTGTGCCAGCTAGCCCGTCTATTGTTACAGGAGGACGATGTGGGCGATACCCTTATCCAAAAGTAAATGGGTGCCGGAAAGCCCATTAAAAGGGGCGCACTTCACTGTCAATCAGTCTCGTCCCAAGGCGAGGAAAGACACATTACCTGCAGTTCCTTATCTAAATAGAAATAAGAACCGGTTTTATCGTGAAGGGGAGGCCCTATAGAGAGATAAGAGAGACGTCTGGATTGCAGTGTAGCATACCGCAGTAACACAGCAGAGCCGAGGCCGCCTGGAATACTTTTGAACACAATCCCTCGAAAAAAACAACTTGTGTGTGGGTTATAGTTCTACAAAACCATTTTTGGTCAGGATTGGGAATTATAATTAGGGACGCAGAAAAAACAAAATTCTGAATGATTTTTCTTCGACTATTTGACGTTTTGCGAGAAACGTTGCGAGCGAATTCACTAAAGGCAACAGGCATTTTAGGATTTAGGCTGTAGTTTATTACAGCATTGGATGCAACACCGAGGATTAATGGACGCAGAAAACACTAATAGACGCACGAAACGGAAACTATTTTAAAACTATTCGAAAATCTATAAAGGCTGTTTGACTTTGAAAAAAATAACTCAAGACTACAACTGCTTTCAGTGTGCAACGCATATAGTAAAATACAGCTTTTGGAATGATTTCAGCAATATCCAGTCCGTGGCTGACGCAGCTGTCCCATTTTTGCGATGTTGCAGCCTTCACGACCAGCAGCCTAAGCAGCCTCAACGCACCGGGGAGTTACCATCTCTCTCCGTCCCCCGGGGACCCGTACAGCCAACATGAAACCCACTTTGAGCCATGCCCAGCCGCTCAACACAGCTACAACTACTCGGGGTCGAACCCCACACAGACCCAGCAGAGCGACACCGGGACATCCAACTGTTCCTCGTCGTCCCCCAGTTCCACACCGAACAGCAAGTCTCTGGTGAAAAAGAACCCTAAGGTGGCCAACATTAACGTTCAGTTGGAGATGAAAGCTTTATGGGATGAATTTAATCATCTGGGAACGGAGATGATCGTTACCAAGGCTGGAAGGTGAGTGGAATTTACACCATGATACATGCAGGCTTCACTGGGTTGGGCTTCCAGATTCATGTTATGAACAAATATTTAGTTGCCTATTTCAAATGTATCCCATGAGAGCTTACACACACAAAGTAGGCCTAAATCATGAGATATATTGGGAGAAAATGTTTAAAGTTGGTGTGTATTTAGTCAACAAATTGATGTTGGTGTGATGCTGCAATGGAAATTACGCAGCAATATCTATTGAAAACATCTCTTAGCTCATTATATTTAGATAAATAAACTATTCACTAATAAACTAGGCCTATTCAATGACTATTCTGTAGTGTTAAATATCATTTATAGTCAGACTGGAACGGAATCAAATATTGGCCTGCAGTTTTTATGTTAAATATTCTCAGAAATTAAGCATTTTGATTTAATTTGGAGTAGTGGATACAGTTAAGAGTAGGCTATATCCCCGAAAACATATTTAAAACGGCCTACAAGTGTGGGCAGAGAAAGCTCATTATTTCTGACCAAATTAAAAGTACGATATTCGAAAGGGCGTTGATATTCATTCAACATTTTACGCATGGGTTTTTAGGGGATAATTGTACGCGTAAAGGCCCTTCTGTTTTCCCCTGTGTGAGTCGTGTTTTCCCTGACATATAGGCCCACTTCACATATATTAAACTTGTGCTTTCCTATCTTATACAGAGTAATAACACCATATCTAAGGCATTTAGGGGATGCTACATGAGATTGTTCAAACAGATAGAGAACTATAGAGAACGTTCCAGAATTCGCCTTTTTCGGGCAATGGCATAGATGCGGTAAAGAGGTCAATGGAACTCGACCAAAACAATGGAAATGCCATGGAAATGCTTGGGGAAAAGGTTCTGAATCTCCTCATTGCCCCCCAGAAAAATGTGCCTAAATTTGGGCTATTGTTTATATGTGTATTTCACACTATGTTGAGGTAGTAATGCTTGTATGATGCCAACCCCGATACATGCTTATGTCATCGTCACCAATCAACTGTATTACAGTTAAAACAACTGACTACCACCACCGATTTCTGTATGCTAGCTATGCTACCAGCTTATACGAACAAAAGTTAGCATTTAGCAGTCACTTCTTCTAAACCTGAAAAGGGACAACTTCTAAATGTTATGCAGCGAAAACAGCCAAACCGGACTTTAGTAATTACACTGTGAGCCTGTTACAATACATCAATCATGAAGGAGTTGACGAATATCCACTTTGTTCGATCATATTTGTTGAATGTGCGCCAATCCGGCGTCCTTCTTACATTTTACATTTTAGTCATTTAGCAGACGCTCTTATCCAGAGCGACTTACAGGAGCAATTAGGGTTAAGTGCCTTGCTCAAGGGCACATCGACCGATTTTTCACCTAGTCGGCTCGGGGATTAGAACCAGCGACCTTTCGGTTACTGGCACAACGCTCTTAACCACTAAGCTACCTGCCACTTCTTCTATCCCCCACGGTCTGCGTCATTGACCTCGTTACCGTATCTTTACCGCATCTATGCAGTTCCTTTTGAGCTATAACTATTTATTCTACTGTTACGGTTATGCACCCTTTTCCTTGTGATACCCTCTCAAAATGCACAATTTTGCGCTTTTCAAAAGCTAGCAAGTTTTGCAACAAGTTTTGCATTCAAATACATTTCTACTGTAAACATTCCACGTATTAGTAAAATTACAGGCCTAGGCCTATTTCTTTCTCTGCATAATATGACCTTGATATTTACATGCTGTCTCGTAGGCAACAGAGCAATAAAACAATATTTGATGTAATAGCAGTCAAAAAGCATATTGATGAATTTCGCTATATGACTATAGGCATTATTTATGCAATGTCGTTGGCATTTGTTGCAGGACAATGTAGGCCCACTTGCCATATCTATCAGATTACTATGAATAACTGCGTTATTTTTTTATTCAATATTTAAAGATTTATTTTAGGATTTGAGCTCCATAAGAGATGGCATTTCCGAAGGCTCAGTTGACCTGCTCTGTGTTATAGGGTGACAGCAGAACAACATCTGTCATTCCAGAGACACTGAGCAACACAGGATCTGAGGGAGGGCACTTTAAAAACTACTTTAGCCTCACCTATCCACAACTGCAGCCTTGAATAGACACTGACGTTAATTGAGCAGGGATTTTAGGATCACTTTCACTGGTTTGGCGGATTACTTCACATACAATAAAACGTTTTACGGTATATGAGACTCCTCACCCCGTCTGCGAGCGTGTGCATGAGGGGAGAGAGAAAGAGAGCATATTTATGAAAGATACGGGTAAAGAAAAAGAACAGTCCCTCGATGCAACGAGTGTGTGTGACTAGAATCCATCAAAGGGCAGAAGAGAAATGCAAGTGAATGTACAGTGTTAAATAAAGCTAAGCGTAATTTGCGTTAACCAAAAATGTAACCCTACTCTAACCATACTGAATGACGTCATACACAAAAACTACAACCCTGGGCCTCCTTCCTTGGAAGGCGTCATAACATCATAGGCCTATAACAACAAAATATAGGCCTAATGCAAAATGCATACCCTATAACAATACTATTGTTGTGGCTGTGGGTGAGATAATGTTATCGACTGTTGAAAAAAGGCAAAATGTTGTATTCTAAAAGAATATCACGAAGTATATCACAACATATGACTTATTTCCTGATGGGAATTTGCCAAAATCTCCCAAATCCCACGCAAGTAAACCCCAGTGACAAACACTTGCAGATGAACCCATAGACAATGATAGAGCCAAGTCAAAGGCAACCGATTTTAATGTATCATGTGTTTTCTTCTGTCAGGCGAATGTTTCCAACATTTCAAGTGAAAATATTTGGAATGGATCCTATGGCAGACTACATGCTGCTAATGGATTTCCTACCAGTCGACGATAAACGATACAGGTACGTTTTATTTACCAAATGAACTAGATACAAATCTATACCTTTCTTGGGAAATATTTTGTGCCAGTCTACTTTCGCTGCAGTGAGTGTATAGGCTATGGCATATGTTCCAATGAACGTGCATCCAACTAAAAGTATAGGCCCGAAACAAGGAATTGAATTGAAAAACAGAATGTAGGCCTATGAAACCTCAATGAAAATGTTGCTCTTGTTTTTTTCTTCCTTTCGTAGGTATGCTTTTCACAGCTCCTCGTGGCTGGTGGCGGGTAAAGCTGACCCTGCTACTCCCGGGAGAGTTCACTACCACCCCGACTCTCCCGCCAAAGGCGCACAGTGGATGAAGCAGATAGTCTCATTCGATAAACTAAAACTCACTAACAATTTACTGGATGACAATGGACATGTAAGTATTGTAACGAATACCTTAGTTTACAAAAAAAAGGGTTTATTTGAACTGCTTGCATCTGCTTTCAAATGATTTGAAATAGAGTAAAATATTAATATTTTTAAAGCACCTGCACATTCGTTTGTCTTGTGTGCCAAAATGTTTCCACAGGCAGAGTTACTTTTTTCCCATTTCGTTAACTACACCTATACTTTTTCCAGGTTACTCATTCGTGTTGAATAGATCTGGGAAATTATGTATAATTATTTTTGATTGATTTTACATCATTTTTATCCATGCATAATTTGATCAATTTAATCGTGCGTAAAATGGTTAGTGCGTAAAATGTGTTGACTTTCAATATGATTGTGCTTATTAACTAACCCCTGCGTTGATTAGCCATCAGGGGATTATGAAAACACCATTTTTTTTAGAGACATCACAATAAAAAAATGTCCATTGAGATTTTTGAGTTTTCATTTTATAACTCAGTTTTGTCCCAATAGGCCTAACCTCTGCCTCTCTCCCGCTACAGATAATTCTAAACTCCATGCACAGATACCAGCCGAGGTTCCACGTCGTCTACGTGGACCCACGCAAAGACAGTGAGAAGTATGCCGAGGAGAATTATAAGACCTTTGTTTTTGAGGAAACACGGTTCACGGCGGTCACAGCATACCAGAACCACAGGGTAAGGATCTCTCTCTCTATATGCTATGCAGATATAATAAACACACATTAGGCCTATATGATAACATCACAACATGATAATAGATGTCTGTTGTAGTGTGTATTTGTTTTTTCACAAACTCACGAACTCTAGGCAGTGTGTTTGCACCATGGGACTATTTAAAAAGTATAACTGAATAAGGCAAAATATAAAACAGCAGGCCTAAAACAACATGATGAACGTGGATCCAGCCTGTTTGCCTCTATTTATAATAATGATGTAAAACTATTAGTAATAGCCTGTATGTAATAGCCTAATAATTTGCATGAAAAATAATTCCATTGACAAACGAATCCTAGATTTGTTTATTCATGTGTGCATGATTTGACCATTACATAATTCCAACAGGGCTCAAATTAACACCATGTAGGCCTACTGCTAGTAAACCCACTATAATGCACTATAACAAAATTACACATTAAGGATAAACCAAATTTAAGAAATGTAAAAAGGGCTATTTGACGTTGCATTGTTCATTTTATGGAGCAACTGATTCTTGCCTTGATCCCCGTTTACTTTTTAATATTTGCTTGTATCAAATAGCTGAACATAATTCCTTTACGTGAGATTTTTGCGACTGAAAGTTGTCTGTATGCACTGATGCCCCTGCACAGCTGTCCAGTTTCTCTCTTTTTTCCTCTGTCTTTCCTGCTCTGTGTTATCTGTTTGACCCTCGGTCTCTAACCGGTCTCCAACGCGCACCGAGGGGCTTTAAGTTTGTTGTTCAACTCATTCCGGAAATTCATGACCACATAACTACATTCACGGATGTGCAAAACTATTGGTCTCATCAATTATAAAAAATGACATGTTCAGTTAACACTTTAATTCAGTGTCAGGACCACAATAAATCACTTGTTAAACTGTAGGCAATTATTATAGAAAAATACGTTTTCTATTTGTATGTTGATAAATGCCTACCTTTATGTTGGTTATAATATATAGGCATATGCTACGTTTCGATAAAAGGGAAAAGGGGAGGGGGTCGCTATAGCGTCGTTCTTTAAGTCAACGTAACGGTAAATGCTTTGACCCTCACTAGTTAGCAGATCTATCAAGCCATAATCAGAAACACGTTCCGCTCTATTTTTTCGTGTCGAGTATAGGAGGCCTAGGCTACTATGTTTTTCATGAATATTACACGTTCGCATGTTTAATCATAGCCTAAATCAAAAAGCCTGGAACAAGCGTGTATATGTCACGTAATGATGTGTTGTTCTGGGTTGGACTTTCCACTTTGACATGAAGGTTTACTTCACTTTGTACTTTTCGTTGTAGATCACGCAGCTGAAAATCGCCAGTAATCCTTTCGCAAAGGGCTTCAGGGACTGTGATCCGGAGGACTGGTGAGAGAACACACACTTTTAAACTCAATTTACTCCATTCATCAATGACAATAAACTGGATACATTTTTACAAAAGTGCATCAAATTGTCTGAACCAGTGAATATGAAATATGTACTAGTCTATTTACAGCAAATGTGACACATAACATGAGTAAATCACATTTAATTATGTATGTCTTGTGGCTCTGTTATCTTCTACCTTATTAGGTCATTAAGATATTGGTGTTTTTGACAGACATTACAGTCAGTGTAACTAAATCCATTCTCTCTCCTCCAGGCCCAGGAATCACAGGCCAGGCTCTCTGCCAATTATGAGTGCCTTTGCCAGAACAAGGAATCCAATGTCTTCTCCCCCACTTCAGAACGGCTCAGAGAAAGGTCTGTAGCCCTCCCTTTGTCTCAGAAGAGGAATATAGTTCATTACTTTCACTGAGAGTGCTATTGAATCCAGGAATTGTTATCTTTTATAACAAAGTACACATTTAATCTCAGTTTAGCAATGCTATAACTGAAATACGAGTAAATGTTTGCTTTCATAAGTGAATATCCATGTAAAATATTGAACAGATATTACCTACAGTAAATGTAGCTTTCACAATGTAGATTGTACAATTATAAAAATGCCTTTGTCATGCTAATGCTTGGCTTGGCTAATGTGCCTACTTTACAGTCTGCAGCTATCTGTTTGTCTGGTCTGCCTATCTCTGACTGTCTGCTTTGTTTGTTGTTGACTTTAGAGGACAGTAGGCGGGACTATGACCGGGACCCCAATGGCACGCCGATACATGCAGACCCCGCCCACCAGCTGATGTCACGTGTCCTTAGCCCTGCCCTCCCCGTCCAAGGAGGACTCCACGCCATCCCCCTCAGCAGTGGCCGGCCCAGCCCTCCCCACGACCTGCGGATCCCGGACGGCCACCCACTGGCCCCAGACACCCTGCACCACCACCCCTACAAGTACCCCACATCCTACGAACACTACCTGGGGGCTAAGACCCGGCCGTCGCCCTACCCCTTACCCGGCATCAGAGGACACACTTACCACCACCACATGAACCCAGCCACAGCTAACATGTACTCCACCACTAGCGCCCCCGCTAACTATGACTACGGGCCCAGATAATGACTGTATAGCTGTAGCTGGCAGCCACGGCCCACACACCTGGGCTTCGGCTACTAGCTAGCTAGCGCTGTGGAAAAGGAAACACGCAGGAGGGGAGGGACAACAACACAACTCTGTCTTCATGGCTGATGCAACGTCAGGAGGTTAGGAGGTTGGGAGGTTGCGCGGCACGCCCTCGTTGCTGGATACCTCATCCCCTCAGAGAGACAAAAACTGCTGTATTTATTTAAGGGAAACGTATCTTGGCAGGATGTACAGACTGGCCCTCTGAGACCGAGCAGGGGTCAGTCTTGACCTCTGAACTTTGACAGCAATAGCTCTACATGAGGGCACTTTTTTGCCTGCGTGGTAGAGCGGCGCAGACAGTGAGCCAGCTTACAGAGGAAACAGTTTACCAGTGCCCTCTCTTAAAACATGGACGACGCATTATCACGGACTGGAATTGATTTTTTTTTTGTGTTGGATGCACTTTTTGTTCTTTTTGCTTTCAGAAAAGCCATATGTTATTTAGTCAATCAAGCTTCCATAGATAGACCAGACATTTGCATGTTGAGCTCATTGGATAGGTGTTGAAACACCTAAATGTTTTTGAGAAGATAGAAAAAATATTTTTGAACCATCTTGAGATGCAGCCCTGAGAAGCTTGTACCATGGCACTGACTTGCAGCAATTCTAAGTAAATAAAGAAGCAGAACTGTTCTGTAACTGTAAAATAAACATTACATTCTTTACTTTTAATTCATAAAGCATCTTTCTCCCAGTTCTCCATTCAAATCCCTGTGTGCTATCATAGGGCCAGGAAAGACCTTGCCTCATTGATTGCATTGTTTCGTTTTCTCAATCCGGATTTACCCAGTTGGTTGATAGTGTTGAGTCAGTGTATATGTGAGAAAGAGGACTAGGAACCTGTGTAAACATTAGGTTGTACACTGATATGCTACAGTTCAAATGTCAGCATCCACACCTGGGACTACAGAATTATTAAATGGTGTGTTGCATAGAGGAATCACGCTAAACACACACATAGTTGCAGAGTAATTTGGCAGATGTCTAGGATCATACTCTCAAAAGTAAACACACACTTGGAAAGGCCAAGCCCATTAATTCCACTTGTGTGTGTGTGTGTGTGTGTGTGTGAGTGTAAGCAAATAACTGAAGAACCTGAACAGACCCCCCCCCCCCCGCCCCCAACAACTGGGCATCCTATTGAGCAACTCAGCAAACTATCTGCCAAAAGCAACAACATCTGATAATCAATAGATTCTATCCAACCCAATCTATTAAATCAAACATTATTTATTATATCAAAGTATTTTCGATTTAAATTGAAAAAGACTGTGTATATGCTGTTTTTAGGCATTTTTTGCAGCAACCTATCTGTATTTTGACATTTAATGTTTTTTTAAATCAAAATAATATTTAAAAAAATGTTTAGGCTATAAATCAAAATAGTTTTGCAGACAGATTTGTCAATTGGTCCAGACAAAGATATAAGTCAAATTTTACCATTGCTACATGAAATTATGAGAAAACAAAATACTGCCCTAAGGATTCAAACGTATTATTGACCAGGGTTCAATTCCCGGCCATTGCAGGGCATCCTGCCTTTAAGAGGGCAGGTAGCCTAGCGGTAAGAGTGTTGGGCCAGTAACTGAAAGGTCGCTAGTTCGAATCCCAAGCCGACAAGGTGAAAAATCTGCCGATGTGCCCTTGAGCGAGGCCAGTAACCCTAATTGCTCTAGAATCACTTTTGATCATGGCAGACCCTGGCTGTGACCCCACTCTATGATGGTGTTTCAGGTAGGGGCTCCCGAGTGGCGCAGCGGTCTAAGGCACTGCTTCTCAGTGCTCGAAGCGTCACTACAGACCCCCTGGTTCGATTCCAGGCTGTATCACAACCGGCCGTGATTGGGAGTCCCATAGGGCGGCGCACAATTGGCACAGCGTCGTCCGGGTTTGGCCGGTGTAGGCCGTCATTGTAAATAAGAATTTGTTCTTAACTGACTTGCCTAGTTAAATAAAGGTAAAATAAATAAATAATTGGTTATGCAAAAAAACACATTTCCAATTCACACATGCATATTAATACACGTGTTAAATAGCCAATAGGACAAATATAAGCACACATTACCTTACAATCATCTACAATATCAAGAGCAGGAACGGCTTTATAATGACCAGAGTCATACAACCAACCACTTGACCTAACAGAAAAATACCCACCTCATCTCTTCCACACAGACAAGAAGAAAACACTAAAAACATTTCCCCTCAAAGGATATAACACCTCACATTAATTGGGACAGTCGTGGGATATTTTTAGCTAAAAAGTGTCAAAATCTGAAAACAGAAATTCTCATTCCGTGCAGAGCTGTCTCTATTTGAAGTCCTATGAGGGATGCCTTGTTGTCAAGGATAATTCCTGCTAAAACATCATGCTGTTTGGGGATCTGGGAGTCGGGACTGTCATGATACAATAGGAAACGTCATGATTCATTTCAATTAGGCCTATGTATTTTTCTCTTCAAACGCATGCAGCTGCGAAAGGGTCCCAAGGTAGAGGAAAAGGACGCCCGCGCGCAGGTTGAGGTTGACCCCTGCCTGTAATGACTTGTGAAGGTATCAAAGGTTAAATAATGTTTCCACTCATTTTACCGGCGACCAATTGATCGTATAATTTCTGTTTAGGGTAGGCTACTAACACAAACAACAGAGGCATTAATATATGGCATTCAGGAATACATGGAATATTTGTTTCTCCTAGAAATTGCTCTCCTTTGAGGCGAATAGTTTTTTTTCTCCCAAAGACTGACTATATCATTTTACCGTATAGGTTAGAAGAACTAGGCCTAAATATTTCCATCATGTTCGAACAAAATTAAGATGTAGCCTACATTTCAATACATGGATAAACTGATTATCAAATGAGCATAGGAAAAACAATAAGCTACTTAAGATTCGAAGTTTATATGTCTAACACTACATTTCTACAAAATAATATAATTTGAAAACATTATTCGATAACTAAAATAATGTAAAGTAGGCCTATAAATAATTATAACATTTACATTGAAAGATCTACATGAACTCAACGATAAAAGTTCGATTATAGGGGAAATTTGGAAGCAAAGAAAGTCACGAAAAGTTTGCCTAGGCCTACCATTATGGAGTGATTCGATATAGACACAAATATAATAACATCTGACCAATAATAACAACAATAATGACATTATTCTAATTATAATTATTATACACATGAAAGTTTTTTGTTGTTGTTGAGAAACACATCATCACACATTTCCCTATATCCCCATATTCCTGGTTCGTTCCTGTGACCTGGACAGGAAGTAGCAGTCAGGAGAATTGAGGCTCTCTTCGCGTGAGCTGAACCCCGGCTGGGCGTATGACAAGTGGCCCATCAGGAAGGCGAGGACACTGAGACCCAGGACTCTTCCGTTAGGTCGACCCAGCTGTGTTTATCCTTGCAGCGCTTCGCCTTGATGTGGGTCCAGTGGTCGCCGAACTTGCGCCACTCTCCAACTGTCTGTTCGCTGTAGGCCGCCAGGTGAGGACAGAACAGGGGTCCATGGTCATCCAACTGACGGATAATTACCGCTTCTATCACACAACAAAGGAATCTCACAACAATATTATTATTTATGTGACCGATGATGCCCAGTAGGCTATATCAGAAAATATATTAATAAAAATATATGCGTGAGATGAGAGTTCCGACTAAATCCGAAATGACCTTTAGGCATGACAGATTGTGCGTGGCACAACAAATGCACGGTCTTACGCGAGTACATTTCGGGTCGAAATTAGCACAACTCCTAATAAATATTATTGTTGATAATGCACTCTATTGATATTAATTTAATTTACACATCATGCCCCAAAAATACACTGTAAATATGCCACAACCCAACAGAAAGTACGCCTGCTAGAGGAACCAAACGGTAGAACATGTGCAATTAAATACAGCATGGAAAACAGCAGGACACCAATTAAATACAGCATGGAAAACAGCAGCCCACCAATGAAATACAGCATGGAAAACAGCAGCCCAACAATGAAATACAGCATGGAAAACAGCAGCCCACCAATGAAATACAGCATGGAAAACAGCAACCCACCAATGAAATACAGCATGGGAAACAGCAGCCCACCAATGAAATACAGCATGGAAAACAGCAGCCCACCAATGAAATACAGCATGGAAAACAGCAGTCCACCAATTAAATACAGCATTGAAAACAGCAGCCCACAAATTAAATACAGCATGGAAAACAGCAGCCCACCAATAAATACAGCATGGAAAACAGCAGCCCACCAATGAAATACAGCATGGAAAACAGCAGCCCACCAACGAAATACAGCATGGAAAACAGCAGTCCACCAATTAAATACAGCATTGAAAACAGCAGCCCACCAATTAAATACAGCATGGCGAACAGCAGCCCACCAATAAATACAGCATGGAAAACAGCAGCCCACCAATTAAATACAGCATGGAAAACAGCAGCCCACCAATTAAATACAGCAAGGAAAACAGCAGCCCACCAATTAAATACAGCCTGGAAAACAGCAGCCCACCAATTAAATACAGCATGGAAAACAGCAGCCCACCAAATAAATACAGCATGGAAAACAGCAGCCCACCAATGAAATACAGCATGGAAAACAACAGCCCACCAATTAAATACAGCATGGAAAACAGCAGCCCACCAATTAAATACAGCATGGAAAACAGCAGCCAACCAATTAAATACAGCATGGAAAACAGCAGCCCACCAATGAAATACAGCATGGAAAACAGCAGCCCAACAATGAAATACAGCATGGAAAACAGCAGCCCACCAATGAAATACAGCAAGGAAAACAGCAACCCACCAATGAAATACAGCATGGAAAACAGCAGCCCACCAATGAAATACAGCATGGAAAACAGCAGCCCACCAACGAAATACAGCATGGAAAACAGCAGTCCACCAATTAAATACAGCATTGAAAACAGCAGCCCACCAATTAAATACAGCATAGAAAACAGCAGCCCACCAATAAATACAGCATGGAAAACAGCAGCCCACCAACGAAATACAGCATGGAAAACAGCAGCCCACCAATTAAATACAGCATGGAAAACAGCAGTCCACCAACGAAATACAGCATGGAAAACAGCAGTCCACCAATTAAATACAGCATTGAAAACAGCAGCCCACCAATTAAATACAGCATGGCGAACAGCAGCCCACCAATAAATACAGCATGGAAAACAGCAGGACACCAATTAAATACAGCATGGAAAACAGCAGCCCACCAATGAAATACAGCATGGAAAACAGCAGCCCAACAATGAAATACAGCATGGAAAACAGCAGCCCACCAATGAAATACAGCATGGAAAACAGCAACCCACCAATGAAATACAGCATGGAAAACAGCAGCCCACCAATGAAATACAGCATGGAAAACAGCAGCCCACCAACGAAATACAGCATGGAAAACAGAAGTCCACCAATTAAATACAGCATTGAAA